TACAAAATTACACATAAAACAAAGTAGTTACATGGATCATTTAGTTAGTCCTAAATATCCTTATTTTCAACAATATAAAAATCGTGCAAGAAGCTAACTTTTCCGCACGATATTTTCATGCACTGAAAAATAATGAAATAGATTTTTTTCTCCATCGATATAATAGGAAACTTATTTGAAGAACATTTGAATAAAAATAACTAAAACATTAATAATGGTAAATATTGAAATTGAAAGTGCAATTTGTGTTTGTTGCGTGGTTGCATGCTGTATATTGCAGATGCCACAACATCTTGAAGAACGTCGTTTCTTATTTGAATTTGATTGGTTAGTGTTTGGCCCACTACAGAAATGCCCTCATCAGTTCGTTGCTGAGAATTACTAGTGTAGTGAATGGAGGAAGAGAGATTTTTTTTTATGTTCTGGTTCCCACGAAGAGGGATATCCTGTAATGTTCAGAGAACATGGCGAGGACCAAGGAAAATAAGGGTGGAATTTGTGTTCTTCTTGAATTTCTGGAGGTTATATGCCTCGGGAAACACTTTCCTTGGCAATGTGTTCCAGAGCTTCACTGTTCGTTGGATGAACGAGTCTTTGGAAAGAGATGCAGGTCTCCAAAGTGACCACGAAGGGGTGCGAAGCCTCAACTCGACGGGTTAATCTCGCGGGGACTGCCAAGGTAGGAATAATAGTTGATATTTCAGAGGAGCATCGTCCATGGAAATATCTATAAAATAGAGCCAGATCGCCGACTTTTCTACGGTGTCCCAGAGAAGTTAGTGAGTTTGTGAGCAAGGCATCACCCACGAGACGAATTGCCTTTTTTTGGACAGAATCCAACATTTTCAGGGTATGTTTGGGTGCTGCACTCCAATTATGGCAACAGTATTCCAGGACAGGTCGGATTTGTGCCTTATAGATCATGAGCAGCTGACTGGAAGTGAAATAGCTCCTGGCCCGAAACAGAAAACAAAATTTTTGGGATGCACTTTTAGCAATTGATCTCACGTGATTTTCCCAAGAAAGGTTATTGCTGATAGTAAGCATCGAAATGGATGTCTTCAAAGGTATGGTTACTTCTGACAAGCTTATGTTGGGCACAGTGAGATCGGCTTTTCTAGAGAGAAGGCATGCTTGTGTTTTGTTTGCACTGAAATCTACCAAGTTATTGGATCTCCATTCGAGAATTGTTGCCAAGTCCATATTCATGTTGTCAACATTTCTCGCTCGTTTCTGATTTGCCTAGCTGGTATTGGAGCCCTGGAAGAGAAGGCGGTATGGAGGGTACTATCATCCGCGAAGCTGTGTACTGGACATGAAGTTGCGTCCAACAAATCGTTGATATACGTTAGTCGAAAGTTTTTTTCTTAAAATGAGTTGAAGAATCACCCCCTTGAATTAGCATGTCTTCGAGGAACACCCTGTATATATAATAATAATATCAGAATCTAAAAGTTGCAATAGAATAAGGTTCAGTTCTGGGACACATGTGTCAAATAATAATGAACACAACTTTTCTGTGAAAACGTTTCGACATTTTTTTTTTCAAATAAATGATTAATTTGAAAAAAAAACTTTCGATATGTTGCGAAAGTTAGAAAGAGTAGGCCATTTTTTTTTTATCTTTTTTAAAAGAAACCTTAAGTCCAAGTCGAATTTTGAAAGAATTATCGTTGAAAGTTTTTCTCACATGATACCAGCTTCCTGAAAAAAAAAACTGAATAATAATATGATGAATATGGAAAAATAAATGATGAGAAATCAGATGATTCTAATCATCAATATTATTCTGCAAACATGTACCCAAATAGCACCGGATATACAGTGATTGATTAAAAGCATAGTTTCGGGCAACACTTCACATCCTAGGACAAGAAGGACTTACTTTGTTGTCCTATAAGACGTCGATGTCAGATTCTGGTGTTATAGAATTGAATATAACTTGTTCCAACATTGCGATGTCACATTCATTGTAATCATGTTTAGATAGGAATTAAAATATGCGCAATATGATGTAAATCGTGATTAATAACCCATTCATTAGTAGTCTAGAGATAATGATAATGAGGCGATATGTACGATTGTGGTTTTATAGTAAATCATCGCAAATTGGCATATCCATTTATAATTTTGTGTAATATGATCACATTCATACACCATCAGTGAAGTGCATAGAGGTGTATTTTTGTATTTTATAACATATTTTATAAGAAACCATTTTTTCTTCACCACTAGCTATTGAACCTACCATTATTTACTCCTTTTCAAGGCGAAAAGTGTGTTTTTTCACCAAGGTGATTGATTGATTGATTGATTAATAGCAGAATGATCAGTCAGGGTTTGAAGCCAAAAACACGGCAGTCTTTGGGCCTATTGTATTCCTGATCATGGTGTTGACTAAGGTGAACAGGTTCGCTACCTTGATGAGGTTTAGCAGCCTCTTCACCAAATCATTCTTTGAAAATGCCTCTTGAGAGTTTACTGCTCCCAGAAGGTTGTATATCCTCCGCTACGCGTCGGGAGACAACACAACCAAAATCTACAACTTTTTTCCCTTGTATAATAAATAACTATTCTCAATACCTTGATATATAAATAACTGTTTATCTCTCAACGACTATTCCAATAATGATATATCATCAGTGCATCCGGTTTCTTATGAAATATCGTACTCTAACACCATTATGCTTATAAATATTTGTCGAATTATTTAAGATTTCTCCATCTTATTGTAAGACGTAGTAAATGCATCACACTTTTGACCTACGACCTCATTTTTGATGATGCCGTATTTTTAATCTGTGGGTATCGGATGATGAAAATAATGTCATTGTTCAGAAGCATTCCAATACTCAATGTTTAATCTTGAAACTGATAGAAACGAACCAAATATTTAACTTGAAAGAAATCAGAGTCGAATATTTTTATAGTTTCCAAGACATTAGTAGATAGATTCTGGTCCGGCGTCCAAATTTTCATCTGAAACCAGTTCACACTAGTCCTTAGTGTCCCTACACATTGTCTTAAAGAGGGAAGCCAGGATGGTTTCCTACAGATTCCTGTCATTGGAAAATCAAATTAGAGTGGGGCGACTGCTGGACCACTCCGGGATACTGTGTGAAACAAGAAATCACCAAACTCTAGGAATGGTACCCGACATGTTGGCCACTCAGACACACGTGAAAAAGTCTTTCAAAGTCCTCTTCCCGAAGAGAGACGAATGAGCAAGTGGATCAGTCCAATTCCCAGAGACCGAACACGTAATGTACACAGATGGTTCGAAAACCCCTCTTGGAGTTGGAGCCGGTGTGTTCAGCAGAAAACCGAAGACGGAAATTTTCGTCAATCTCGGCAAATATGCTAGAATCTTTCAGGCGGAGGTATTCGCAATTGAATTGTGTGCTAGAGAGTTGTTGAATAAACCTCTAGTAAACAAAAATATCAGTATTGTATCAGACAGTCAGGCTGCTCTTAAAGCACTGAGCTCCAGCAAGATAAATTCCAAGCTTGTATGGAGCTGTATTGAATCCCTAGAATGCCTGGGTGCTAACAACAAAGTCACTTTGCTGTGGGTGCCTGGACACCAGGGGGTGGAGGGTAACGAGAAAGCCGACATCCTCGGCAAACAGGGAACCGAATCTGTGTTCATAGGACCAGAACCATATTTTGGGATCACCGCAAGTGCGGCGAAAACAACTATCTCGGGCTGGGCGGAGGGGAAAAACACTCACGTACTGGTCTGCATTACCAGGATTAACCCATTCGAAGGCGTTCCTGCCTAAACCATCGGAAAAAATAACCATGCAGATCCTAGAATGGAGCAGGGGTAACCTGCGAATTCTGACTGGACTGCTTACGGGACACTGTCGTCTAAGATACCACCTGAGAAGGATGGGTCTGAACCAACAAACGGACTGTCGGTTCTGTTGTGTGGAAGACGAAACGGCTGAACACATTATGTTCATGCTCTAGCTAGCTTAGAAAGACTAAGGTTCGACACATTTTTCTTCACCAATTTAGAACCTATATCGATTTCAGACAAATCTCACCCAATTCAACCATCAACTTTGGAAAAAGATGTGGATTGTACGGTGAGGGAGGATATAGAAAGAGGTGGTATAGGTGCGTCGGATATTTTCTGAACTTTTGGAGGTTATATATTGGCCAAGAATTCCAAACTTTTGGTAAAGTGTTGTTCGACAAGTTGCATCGAATATTTGATGAATTAAATTTGTTTTATTCTACGCAGTTTTTATCAGAAACCATTCCATTTTTTATCTGCCAAATACTCATTTCAATCCCTATTATATGAGGTCTAAGGTCGCCAGACATCTCTTTATGAATAAAAAAATCATCTCATATCATACTTCCTGTGTGTATCATTGGCTGAGTCTTAAAAGTTGCATCAGTCAAGAATCATCCCATTTTCAACGCAATAGATATAATTAGTATTAATTAGCATTTGCAAATTTTTGCGATAATAACATTCTTGCTAACTTGTGACTAAATCCACAAAACACGTGGAGATTTGGTGTCATTGATATTCATTCACATTTCAAGCCGAATGTCTAAAATACGCGAGTAATTCAGGAAAACCAGTTTTTAATTTCCAACTTTGACACCCTCGCTGTATATCGAATATGAAGGGCTAAAATGAAAAATGGTATTTGGAAACTCATATTGTTATTGTTCAAGAAATATATGGTTAATGGATTGACCACCTTTTAGCGGACACCCTGTATATGGTTGTAAGTGAAATTCATAGTCCTCATTTCAGAAAACCAAGAAATACAAGATTCCATGTTCATGCTGTTAAAACTAACAAATTTATCGTGAAATTTTGAAATAAAATATTTTGAAATTTTGAAATAAAATCTCCTTCCTGTTTCTCCTAAACCAGCAACATTCTCATCAGGCATATTGGGCTAAATCTAATTATTTTTGTGTTTACTCTCTGTAATTCAGAGATATCCCATTCTTAAAAAAAACTTTATTTCATTCAGACAGAATAGGTACATCAAATACTTCATGCACTATACCCAAACATAACCTCACTTCTTGCTGCTCTCTTCCTTCTTCGCTTCCTCCTTCTTTGCCTTGGCCGCTATCTTGTTTAGGTTCTTCACGGCCTGCTCTTCACTTTCCTCCGGCTCTTGCGTCATCAGGGCGTTCTCTTCTTCTGTGCTTCTCCTTCTGTACTTATCGCGGGGCGTAGCTTCGGCTTGAAGCTGCTGCTTCGTTATCAGCGATACTACCTCTTTGCTGCCCACTGAGAGCTTCCTTTCTTCCTTGTCGGATTCGCTGGTGATGGACTCGCGTTTGTCTTTGCTGGTGCCTGAAGAAGAGGATTTCATTGAACTCATCATTATCTGACGTGGCGATGATGTTATTTTTATTTTTTTTATTTCACGGGAAAAGGCAAACTCAACAGGCAAGCAAAGCTGCCCAATAAAAGAATTGCACAAAATAACAGAAAAAAAAACGAATTTCCCAAATTGGAAACTGTGCGATATTTAAACAATTATTGCAGGCAATTGGTTGAGCTTCTACCAACAACTAATGAAACTCGTTTACGTATATTATGCTCTGTACAATTTAAACTGAAAAATTTCATCCTGTAGGGCGAATCAATATATCCATTAAATAGTTTGTATACAAAGCAAATATCAGAATACTGTCTTCTCAGCTTGAGATTCTCTAATTTGTAAGAAATTATATTATTTTCTATTGTATCTGAAATTAAAAGTATTTATTAATTTATGTTGGATTCTTTCTATCCTATCAATGTACGTACTATAGCATGGATTTCAAAGTACCGTTGCATAATCTAAATAGGATTTAACGATGGAGTTATATAAGACAAGTACAGTGTCTGCTCGTTTGAAATTGGCGGCAACTCTAAAGATAAAGCCCAAATTTCTGAAAGCCCTCTGAACAATAGTATCAATATGTTCATCAAAAGTGAGTTTACTATCAAGGATCACACCTAAGTCTTTATTTGAACTAACATCTTGAAGGTCCTGCTGCGGGTAAAGAGAATTTTATGACATTATTGTAAATTCAGGTGTACTCGGTTGACTTTACAATAATCAACAAATCTATTTAGATCATTTTGGAGAGGACTGTAGTCTTCAATAGAAGTGATCTTTTTGTATATTTTGAGGTCATCAGCATACAGTGTTTCTATATTTTCAAAACATGAACTTATATCATTAAGAAAAATGTTGAAGAGAAGCGGACCTAGATGGGACCCTTGTGGTACGTCGGAAGTTACTGGTAAAGACTCTGATCTGCAGCTATTAATTACTACAAATTGGCTCCTATATCGCTCACATAGGATGTAAGTAGTTGCATTAAGTTTCCATGTACACCGAATTCTCGAAGCTTCATAACAAGGGTGGGATGGTGGTACACTACACAGGTAGATATACCTTTTTCTAGGAACTGCAATGTCTCCTGAACGTACGGAATGACGTTGAAACTATGGGGAAAACATTCCGAGTTTTGTCATCATGATTCTATTTCATTTGAGATTGTTATCTGATGGTTTTCGTGTTCGGACATTATGATTCTTTTGTCAAAATTGGGATATTCAAGATGGCGGATCCAATATAGCAGACGAGCTCCGTAATTATGATCCGATTTCATTCAAAATTGGTTATTGGGGGTTTTCGGTCTCGGAAATTATGATTCTTCCGTCAAAATGGGGGAATTCAAGATGGCGGATCCAATATGGCAGACGAGTTTTGTAATATTCAACCGATTTTAATCAAAATTTGTATTCCCCGTCAAGATTGGATAATTCAGAAACGTGCTTTGTGATAAATATAGTAGTTTAAAGAACTGATAGAAACCGCTATTAAGCTTCTATATAGAAAGTCATACTGAGAAGAAGTGAAAAATGAATAGTAGTTTAAAAAACTGAAGAAACACGCTTCCAAAGAGAGCCAAACTGAAAAGGAGTATAAAATAAATATTACCTGGTTTGAAAAACTGAAGAAACTTACAAACTGAAAAGAAGTAGGAGCTTTATTGATAAAAGTGTGTTGATAATGCACCACATAGTTTACTACACTAGATGCTGTTCATTTCAACACATGTTAAGAAATTAAAATATGAATGAACGAGAAGACGAGATCATTGACTACTTCAGCTCTCAGTGGTTTCATTATTGATCCACAAAATTCATACATTCTTTTTTTTTTGGAAATTTAGCGATTAAGGCTATAGGATTTCAAAATCACCGCCCTATTATTCAACAATGAAATTTAACATGCGCAGTAAGATTCTTGGCCTTTCTGAGATATGCGGTGTATTTTCCACAAATAATCGCAATTTGATTGGTTGACTAACGACACATTTCAATGATTATTGTGAAAAAATTAGAAACATTTCATGCATTTACAGATCGTGATAGTAAAGTGGATTGGGAAATTAGTTCTTTCAGATAAAGTGAAATGAATCTCTGGCCCATTGATCATATTCTTCCACGGTACAGAATAAATTGGCAATAACTTGAAATATGCATCTTCCAAAACAAATTTATCTAATCCTCTAATATGTCATATTATGAGTAATTTATTTTATTGTGTCGAATACGCTCGGTTAAAGCGATATACAATATAAACACAGGCGAAGAGAAAGTACCTACTTTTCAATACACAATCTTGTGAGTTCAGCAGAGAAGAATAAATCAAGTGTCGAACAACCCCAAAGTGAAATACGAGTTTGTAGGTCATACTCAAGATATTTCACCGATTTAATCAATCACTTCTAGTGGAAGCACAGAAACCCCAAATTCCCGAAGCAGAATGATTTCATGACAATAAGTGAAGAACTCATCAATACAAAACGTTCATTGAATCAATGGAAGATGGTAGATAATTAGCGAAAATCAAATACTGATTAAAAGTTAATGTGTTTCTCGGTCTTTCTTTCGTAATTGCCTGTATGTGTTTGAATCGAGTCAGACACATCTTTCCACCAGCTCAATGGTTTCGGGCTTTTGACTCTCATCAGTACAGGGCAGTCTCCAGAACTATGTCTGAAGCGACACCTCACCTAACTAAAACGGAGGTATATCAATTCAATTTCAAATCAATGCTCGAACGGCTAATTTGTTACCAAGAATAATTTTTTTCCTCCAGCAATCGAATGTCAGAACAAAAAAAATCTATTTTTGTTATAATCTTGCTCTTACCTGCTTCTGGATCATATGTGAACCATCCGTCAACTCTTATACCACCAATCCGGACCCTGGATTTCAGGGGGGCCAAAATTTTGTTGATCAACGATCTACAGGCAGTAGAAACCTTTGGATCTTTGGGAAATACGACTTTGTTGGATACCTATAAAAAAACAATTATCAATTATTTCAATGCCATCTTTTCAGAAAATGGCACCAGGCAATGTGAAATGTTGTACATACTGTATACACTGGGCTGAAATGGACACTTTCAAGAGGAAAATTCTATCTCAAAACTGAATACACGTATATTATACACTGTGTCCAAAATAAGGGAGGCCAGTATGGGTATCTTGTAAACTATATACAAGAGATTTTGTATTTATTTATTTCAGTATAAACAAATAATATATAAAGTATAATTAATTTTCTAGTAGGAATGACATGAATGATCAGACAGTTATTCCTGGTATAAGATCATTCATGAAGTATTATCGACTGTTGTATAATTGAAATTACAAATAGTGAACAAAACTTCCATATCATTAAGATATCTCAAAATAACAGTATACTCATATTAAAGTGAACAAGAAGGAAAAAAAAAGGAACATTGAAGAAAAAAAAAAGGAAATTCATAGTCTTTCTGCTTTGATCATATCTTTGCATAGAATATATTGCTTCACTTTATTTTTGAATTGTATAATATTGGGGCAATTTCTGATAAAAATGGGGTCAAGTGGGAGAAACGGTGCGTCATTAGAATTTTCAAAATAATTATTCGTGTTTGAGTTATTTTCAAAAAACTGAATTTATATTCGTTTTTCTTGCGTTGACGATGAATTGGGATATGACAAAACTGAAGAAACATGTTCATGGCAACTTTCGATGTTACTCTTTTTCAGTATCGATTTTCTGACCTCTCTATATCATATGTGAATAGCCGTTTTCTGATTTGGACAATATGCTACACATTATTGTTTTTATGCGTTTCGAGCTCATTCTGGTCATCATCAAGTATTTCTTGGAAACATTTCTGATGATTTTGTGAAAAAAGTTCATAATCAAATTGAACATGTAACAATGCTTATTACATGAACATCAATATGTAAGTCGTATTACGTGAATAATCATAAATCTGATAACATTCATATAACAAATAACAGTAAAAAGATTGTCATTCAGATCCGTATTCCAAAAATCACGCGATGATGGCCAAAATAGACTCGAAACGCATCAAAATCATGGCATGTAGTATATCGTTGAAGTCAAAATGAAAAGACCGTTTCGAATCCGATATCAAGATATTAGGATCGTATTCGAAAAAATTAAGTTGATGATGGTTGCTCATAGACGAGACGTTGGATCAGAAAATATATAATGCTGAATTATTCAACATCAAGAGCCACAAAGATTATTTTTTATTTTTATCATTCCTCCATTTTCAAAGCCAGGAGAAAATAAAATTGAGAATCCTGAAGTCATAAAAAAAAATTTTGGAAGTCATTTTATTGGCTCTTCAACCATGCAACTTTTTTTCCATGTAACCAAATCTGTATATCTCGAATTTTCCGAGATGTCCATAACCTCCTCATCTTGGACACGGTGTACAGTTTCAGTTCCTGTGTTTCAATTTCAGTGTTAGACTCAATGCATTCATGAAAAAAACAATCAATTTTTGACGAAAAAAATCACTATTCATAAATGCACCATGTAACTCTGAAATGCGGAAAAGAAACTCAACTATGATATAGTGAAAAACCCTCCAAACTGATTGCTATCAAATGTGCAAATTCGATTGGATAGTAACTGGGGTATAGGGCCCCTTTTTAGAATACCTGTTTAACCAATCTATTCTGATAGAAACTAAAACAATTTTTCAAACTATGTTTATAATTTAGAACCATGTTTTTGCATTTGCCATCTCCACAATGATTTCTTTCGGCTGATGATGGACACCTTTTGGGTTCGAAACATGTCTCCCCCTTCATGATTTCGAGATTAAACGTTGTGGGGACGACTTGGACAGTTTTCCACTATATTATGACTACTTCACCCCACTTCGAGATGGACTTCTACAGTAAATTAAAACTCACCTGTTTAATGAGCTCCCTGTAGTTCGTATCGTCGAACGGCAGCCTCCCGTATACCATCGCGAATAGTACCACGCCCATGGACCACACGTCGGCGTACTGGGGCTGGTAGGGGATTCCCCTGAGTATTTCGGGCGAGGCGTACGCATAGCTGCCGCAATAGGTCTCGCTCAGGGTGGTTTGACCGTTCTTCGGCTTGCCCGTGGTCCTGGCGAACCCGAAGTCGGACAGCTTTATGTTCCATCCGATATCCATCAGCATATTCTCGCATTTTATGTCCCTGAACAATACACAATCTATTGAGAAGGTCCTACAGATAGACTTTCAATGTCCCTGAGAAACAGGTAAACGTTCACGAAATCCCTGATCCACTTCAAATCCGGGAAATATCAGTGGTTCTCATATTTTGAGTCCCTGAACAGAGATTGTAAGGTTAAATATGTCCCTGATCCTACTAAAGTTGTATATCGGGCGAGGCGTAGGCGTTGCTGCTACAGTACGTCTCGATCAGGGTGATTTGATCGTTCTTCCGCTTGCCTGTGGTCCTGGCGAACCCGAAGCTTAATGTTCCATTCGACATCCATGAGCATATTCTCGCATTTTATGTCCCTGAACAACACACAAGGTCAGGTTAGGTTGACAAGGTCCTACAGATGACTTTTTATATCCCTGAGAAACAGACAAACGTTCACAAAATCCCTGATCCACTACAAATCCGAGAAATATCAGCCTATCTCACATTTCGAGTCCCAGGGTACAAAGCTTCTACGATCCAAGTGCCTGGACTAGAGATACTAAGGAGAGAATGAGGACTTCCAGCAACTGCTGAAACCATTGAACAAGATACAAAGCGTCTAGAAAATCTCCTCACTCCCAAGAAGAAAGAGTTGATGAGGACATACCCATGTACCACTCCTTTTTTTCATGTCAGTATTCCACAGCTTCCAGCAACTGCCTGGACCCAACCGTTACCACCGTGTTGTATCGGTACAGTTTTTCCGAGGTATTGGCCTCCAAAGAAGGAGCTATGGGGTAGACAAAGCGAACTACAGAAGGAAACCTAGAAGAAACTGCATTATCCTCTCTAGGAAACCAGTCTGATAACACAGATCCTCAGGAGCCCCTCAATCAGATATTGGCCTTCAATAGAGATACATGATTTCTGCATGTGTAGCTAACAAAAATGACAGAGCAGGGTATCGAGCTGCTAGGATTCAAGTGCCTGAACTGAGGAAAAGTAGGAGAATAGGGGAGAATGAGGTCTACTGCTTCCAGCAACTCCTTGAACCTTGATACCTACTCCAAAGAGAAAAGAGTTGATGAGGACCTACCTATATACCACTCTATTTTCATGACAGTAGCCCACAGCTTCCAGCAACTGCCTAAAATGGTAAAGTACAGGAAGAAACCAAGAAGAAACTGGGTAGATTATGGAAATGACAAAACAGGGTACAAAGCTTGTACGATCCAAGCTCCTGGACTGAAGAGAATAAGGAGAAAATGAAGACTACTCTTTCCAGCTACCGCTGGAACCACTGAGCAAAGTACAAAGCGTCTAGAAATCCTACTCTAGAGAAGAAAAATTTGATGAGGACATACCTATGTACCACTCCTTTTTCATGACAGTAGTCCACAGCTTCCAGCAGCTGCCTGAACCACTTCCTGGACCTAACCTCATCGATGTACTGGTCCTTCCTGATGATGTCCAACAGACTGCCGTTCTCTGCATACTCCATGACAATGTACACCCTGTGAGTGGTCTCTATGGCTTGCAGGAACCTGATGAGGTTGGGGTGACGCAGCCCCTTCACCACCTCGATCTCTCGCGGCAGGAACTTCTTCAAGTAGTCCGCAGGGGCGGAGAACTTGCTGACTATCTTGATTGCGACGTTGCCGTCATGTCTTTCAGAATGGGAGACCCTGACAGTGGCATAGGAGCCGGTGCCGATGGTTTTGCCGAGGTAGTAGCCGTGGGACTCTAGTACGCTGAGCTTCTTGTCCTGCGGGGGGTCTTGAGACACTTGGGGTGTTTGGTCGGAGCGATGCAGGCTGGATACCGAAGGCATTATTTCGGGGAATTTCGGTCATTTTCTGTGGTCATTTTACGGTCAATTTGGGAGGTGTCATTCTGACGGGCAGTTGACATGTTTTGCCAAGTGAGGTTAGTGGGTACGAAGTTACAGGAACCATGGAATATGGAGAGTAGAGGAATGGAGAGTAGAGGAAGGACAGTTATAGTTCGACTCGCCAAAGAAGTCCGGAGACAAAAAGGAGAGGATGAATAATGTGTGTAGTCATCTGAGCATAGAGTACCTAAGCAATTCGGTTTTGCAGATGACGATAAGCACGAACGATAAGACTGACTGTCTTTTTGGCCTAATACTACCATTTCTAGCGAGCGCTTGGGATTCCGTTTTCAAATTATTGACAGTGAGACATGGTGAGACGATGATCGCAACATTTATATTGTGCTCTGGGCTTACATTCTTGATAGCATAGAATCCCGAGACCAGAGTCACATGATTAAATCAAACTCAACTTTATACCAAAACGCTCTGTTTAGCCGCTATACAGGGCGTCGGAATGATATTTTTTATTTTTATTTTTTCGTGTATTTCAATATTGTCGAAAAATATCGTTCTGAAATTTTGTAGGCCCACTGACAGGACTATCATGCATACAAAACTTCCATACCATTTTGATATCCTGGGAAGAAACTGGAATTCTGGAGGAAAGCGCTGTGAATATGGCAAATGGTTACTCCCAACAGAACATTGATAGGGAAGTAGGAACAATGATGGTGGCAAAATTGATTCTTGTGGAACGCCGAAACTGATGTTTATGGTACCAGACGAATCTCCGTTCACCACCACATCGATCTGCCTGGAAGAAAACTGTAGCTGAGTTGGTAAGCCGTATGGTGGTAGTTTGTGGAGAAGTCCTTGGTGTATAAAAGGGTTTCGATTAGGGCTTCACAAGACCAATACCAAGACCAGGACTGATCAGTCTTGGTCTTGGTCTCGAAAAATAAATGTAGTCTTGGTCTTGATGGTCTTGGTCTTAGATCAAAATGCGTCTAGAAATTTGAATTATTCAATTCAAATATCCAACAGCTCATTTGCATATAATACGTATTTCGTATTTCTCAGTCTTTAAAATTGTTAATTGGTGCGTATAAAGTAATCGAAATGAATTTCTCCTCTCACCATAAGAATATAATTTTCAAGAAACCTTAAATGGACATCAAATGAGACCCAAACAGCAAACAGGCCGACGGCCGACAGGCCAGAAAAAGGTTCGAACGGGTCGGAACTGACAACAACGCATTATCAACATATTTCAAGGAATTTCATATTCAAACCTTACACAACATACACCTATTTGTTGTAAACTATTGAAACTGCAAAAATGAAAATTTACCATAGGCAAATGAATTATTAAAATAAAATGCCATTACATTTTCCATCAGACTTTTCTTAATATTGAGTAGATTTAAGTTTATTATTTTTCTTCCTTGGGAGAGAGCCTTGGTCTTAGTCTCAGAAAGATTCATTGAGTCTTAGTCTTGGGAAGATTTATTAGGTCTTGGTCTTGTTCGTTTATCAAGACCAAGACAAGATGAAGACTGGACTCTTGGTCTCGCGAAGCCCTAGTTTCAATAAAATGCAAAAGTACATCTACAATGACCTGGTAAAAGATTCCGACCAACTTCATTTTGATTCGATGATTTTGATACTGCAGGTTGATTGATAATTCAGACGATATGATAGAAATTTTCATGCAGATTTTCATTAACATAGCAGTTTAAAAATAAGTCTAGCTCATCTATTGGCCAAGCTATCAGTGAAGAGATGATTTTTAAGAAGAAAAGCATGATTTTCAAGTCTATAGATTGTTTTATTAGGCAAAAGTGACACTTTGTTTGACAAGCGAATTTTGCATTTGCGAGGCGGAGCGTTTAGCGAAGCCGAGCGAAAGCAAAATTTGCGAGCTACCTTCATTAACAGCAGGTTAGGTTTTCTAGGATGTTCGAATTGTAGTTTCAATATGAATACAACCACAGAGTGACATATTTGTGTATGGACCAGGTGCTCTAATGGCAAATACCGCGCCAGTGCCAGCTATAGGAAGAGGACGTGGAAAATGTTAGGTTAGTGAACATATCAACAATGATAATAGTGATTATTTATTCCTCTCCATACTACACTGTGTTTGACTTGATAATCAAATGGAGGTTAACAATATTGTTGTTTGAGAAAAAAAACTATTGCTTGCCGTGATAATTCAAAAACAAGTTATCCATCCCGAGAATAACGAATGAAATACAGATCAAGCAAGTATTTGAATCTTGAAGGCTTCCCTGATCAAAACAAAAATACTTAACTGAGATGTTTATAATTAATTCCAATACCAAACTTTTATAATAAGGTGTATTTATATCTCCAGCATGGCTATGATGTGCCAAATCTGCTGAAATCGGAAACAAATCAGGTATGCGTCTCAACCCAAATAACCAACCGTCACAATGTTGTTCATTCTCGATGACGTCCAGTACATCCTTTTTAGTTCCTAGGAGCTAAAGTTCAACTTTAGCTCCTAGGAACTAAAATTCAACTTTAGCTCCTAGGAACTAAAGATGTTGCCTAGCAACATACCTATTTTCGTGTCAGTAATAGAAACGTCAATTTAAGAGCTAATTTTGGTATCAAAATGGACGACTTTTGTGTCGGTTGCAGAAAAAATTCATTTATATAGCTGTCGTAGCGTATTTTTCATGTGAAATATTATGTAATGCGTATCGGAAAAGAGTTGGTTATGTGTATTGCGATATTTAATCCGGTCACGTTTGGATATCTGTCGACACAGCAATCCATCCATCGCATATTGATGTCTGGTCGCCATTAAAAGTCCACGTTATTTCAAAGCAAATTTCGTTCGTTCATTATTTTTTTTGTGGATGTTACCCAAGAGCATATTAAATACCAATTGGTATTTTGGGTACAGAATCCAATTAAAAATTGAGAAATTGCAAAGTTAACTAGACTCTAACTGGAATTGAATGCTGAGGAACATGTAAGGATGAGAAGATTCGGCCATGATAGGTAATCATTTTTGTAAGATTCGAAAAATGAAAAAAACTCGTTTGATATTCAATATCATTCTTTCATCGTCAAATCTTGTATGTTTGAACTGGTGAAGATATCAGTAATACATAAACAGAGCGAGAGTTGCTATGCAGAGTGTTTCAGATTCAAATGTATGTACAGGGCTAGTTTTCAACTAATTCAAAAAAAATTATACAATTCTTCAAACAGATTACACTCATATTGACAATGATGCAATATCTCTTCAAATATACAGGGTATACAGGAAAAAATATTTTTTTCAAATGGAATGCGGAATGCGTCGTATATTTCAATAGATTTGAATTTCTCAATTCATCCTGATTGAAAATATATGATATAAGGGATTCATATCTATCATAATATTCAGCGCATTCCATATGAAAAATATATATATTGCTGTATATCCTGTATATTTGAAGATATATTGCAACAGTGTCACTATGATGGAAACCTGTATGAAAAATAATTGTATAAAATCCGTTTTACGCAGAATCCAGTGGCGCACTCAATTTTATTTGTCGGGGTGCGGTTTTGCAGATTGAGTCGTAACTTTCGATTTTTTGGATGCAACACCCTGTATTCTATAAGTTCATTAAATTCGTTATTTTTTTCAAAAATGCTCGAAAATCACAAAAACATTGGATTTCAATAGTGGGCTATGGATTTTTCATATAAAAATAGTTCCAATTCGAGGAGTATTTCAGATTTTTTCATGGAGAAAACAAAAACAATATCAACACAACGAAATGCAAAAGAAAGATACGTGAAAGCCGAAAGCAACAAATAAATATTAATAAAAACTTCATAATGTATAATAAGCACCTGAATAAATATTTACTAAGACAATAGAAAAGATAGTTTTCCAGAAATTACAAAGACATCCTTTAATTTTGAATGCATAAGAAGTATTGAGTGTGTGAGGGAAAATGGATATCAATAAGTTACTGAATAATTTCGAAATTCAATTGTTTTAGTAAATATTTAATCAGGTGCTTATTCTAAATTATGAACTTTTTATTACTATTTATTTGTTGCTATCAGGTAACTAAGTTTTGTGTTTTGTTAGTTAATTAGTGTTGGTATTGTTTTTGTTTTCTTCATGGAAAAATCGAACGAAATATTCCGTCAATTGGAACTTTTTATATGAAAAATCCATCCAATCCGTTGAAAATTCAATGTTTTAGTGATTTTGGAGCATTTCTGGAATTTGATATTCATACATTATATGTATATCCATTTTTTTATGTTCATAATTATATCTGAGAATATTGATTTTCAATTATAATATAATTATTGACACAAATGTATTATAAGCAATGAGATGAGGAAACATTTTGAGACAATTGATTTTTTATGTCTAAATGTCTAAATGAGAAAAAAAATTCCACTAGCCTATTTTTTGTTGTTTCTAAGGTGGAACAAACTACGAGAAGTCGAACGACTCCTCCGGAAATGTTTGAAAGGTATCAGGGAGTAGGGAATCTGAGAAGGCTATGAAACGAAATAAATGAGCTTTAATAATGTCAGCACGACAGTAAACAAACAGGGGATAGCTTTTTATTAAGTGACTGGGGTGTCTGAGACACCATAGCTACTGATGTATCGTCATATCGAATTCATGCTGAAAAACGATAGATAAAATATACAGGCGGTGCAAAATCAGGGCCTCCGCCAAAAATTTAAAAGCTAAATATATACTTCAAACTGGGTATTTTGTTTTAGTAATACTATATACACACAGAAAAATAATTTCTCTAACCAACGAAATATGCTGAACTCGAGCATATGGATTGTTTATATATACTCAATCAAATATTTTCTCAATACCAGAAATTTATATTTGCACAAAATTACTGTAATGTAATTTCCCTCAAAGGGACCTAGAGGAAGAAAGGGGTACAACGATCATCCTGTAACACGCATCCCAGATTGTTCTCCAACCTCCCAATGATACCTACATGCACCAGCATATTTCCAAACACTCAATATATGCCGCGGTGACAAATAACGTGACAGAAGATTCTGG